TAAATATAATTTGTTTCTAGGAACAAATATATTGAGAGCTCTTATGAGTTAATAATACAATAATTTACCAATGCAACATGAATAAAGCATTTGAATAGACATTTTAAATAAAATATATGCAAATCCTAAGTGATATGTAAAATGTTTCAATGCTATTACTCATTGGGAAATGCTACTTAAACCATGATATTATGATATTCCTCAGAATGGCAACACCAAATGCAGGTGTTCAGAAGCACCCAACTAGAATGTGTTTCCAGAAGGGTGGATATGCCTTATGCATTTTTATTTAACTTTGATTGGCCTAAAAACAGTGTGATGCACATCTATTTTCACATTGTCAATGCTTTCTTGGTAAATGCATGAATACCTGGAGGTCCTGGTTTGATTCCCCCAAAGTTGGGATCTTTTCCCACACAGCCAGCCGCCTGTCTGGTCAGAGTGAAATTGCTTTTGTCTCAGGGTGGTGAGGAGGGCAGTGACAGGGACCGAACCTGACCAGGAGTTTTTCTTATACTGAGACCCCTGGCTCCATTCTAAAGAATTCCTCCTTCTGGCCAGAATTCCTGTTCAGAATGCTAATAAATGATTCTTGTCTAGACTGATCATTCTGTCTAGACTAATTTACAAATAAGCAACTAGCCTAGAAAACATTTTTATTTTTTGAACTTGGATTATAATAACAAAGTAAAATATTGTTAGACAACTGGAATTCGTTTCTGCTGACAAAAAAAAAGTGTAGGTAACTTACAGAATGAATAAAAAAATGATAAAAATGGAAAATGTTTAGGAGTTATTTGCAGTTTCCAATATCTGTCTTTCCTAGGAGGCCCTGCTGGCTTAAGGCTTGTACAGCAAAACAGTGATTACACTACCCAGATGCTTTCTTGGCTCTCATTTCTAGCACTTTTAAAATTTTATTTTTTTTCTCTGCTTCCTTTCTTCCTCTTTTCCTTTCTTTCATTTTAAAAATTCTAACTTCTTGTTTCCTTTTTCTCCTTTTCTTTTGTTCTTTCCTTCTTCATTTTACATGGACAGATGAATATAAGCAAGGATAAAACCTATATGGTATTTTGTTCTAACGAAATGACACAATGCCAAAAATTAGAAAATAAAAAACAATTCAATAAAGCAAATTAAAATAACCTACAATTCCACCACTGAGAATTTACCTTCCTTAACTTCCAACTTTCTGGATCTTTGTGTGTGAGACTGGGCCAAAGATGGACATTTCAACTTTTGAAAGACATTTTTATTGCCATTCCAACTTGACAATGATACATTTAAAAAGATAAAACAGGCCGGGCGTGGTGGCTCAAGCCTGTAATCCCAGCACTTTGGGAGGCTGAGGTGGGTGGATCACGAGGTCAAGACCGAGACCATCCCGGTCAACATGGTGAAACCCCGTCTCTACTAAAAATACAAAAAATTAGCTGGACATGGTGGCGCGTGCCTGTAATCCCAGCTACTCGGGAGGCTGAGGCAGGAGAATTGCCTGAACCCAGGAGGCGGGGGTTGCGGTGAGCTGAGGTCGCGCCATTGCATTCCAGCCTGGGTAACAAGAGCGAAACTCCGTCTCAAAAAAAAAAAAAAAAAAGATAAAACAGCTAGGGATCATGTGGTTTGCCTACCTTCTATGGTTAGGAATGTGCAGGAGGCCAGAGACAGGCCATAGAAACACTTTGTACTCTGTCTCTTGCACCTTACATGATCTTTGATGAAATTCCAAACACTCACAAACACAGATACAAACACGTACATGTACATTTCTGAGTCAGGAGATTTAATATTGTTAACCTGTCAATACTACTTAGTGATGTACAAATTCAATGTCATCCTTATTAAAATTCCAATGTCACTTCTTTTGCAGAGGTATTGTATAAAATCCTAAAATTATATGTAATCTCAAGGGACCATGAATGGCCAACAGCTTTAGAAAAAAATCAAGTTAGAGGTACCACACCTCGTGATGTCAAAACTGATAACAAAACTACAAAAATAAAACTATTGTGGTATTGGTATAAAGACAAACATGTTTGATGGAACAGAACAGTGAACCCAGAAATGAACTTTTATTAATATTATAGAAAAATTTTTTACTAGGTTATATCATGACCAAACAGTGAAGAAAAGGTCAGACTCTCCAACCAAACGTGTGAAAAAATTCAACATCTAAATAGAAGATAATGAATTTCGATCTTTCCCTTTGATGACATGCAAAGAAAATATTTTACATAGACCAAGTACTTAAATGTAAGACATATACCCCTTAAACTCTTAGAAGAAAATATAGGGAGGAGCATAATGACATTACTTTGGGCAAAAATTTCTGGAATATTACATTAAAAGCAGAAGCAAGAAGAGGAGAAAAAAAAATGGTACTATATCAATCTTTCAAAACCTTCTGCACATCAAGGGAAACAGTGGAGTACAAATGCCAACCATGAGATGGCGAAGAAACTTCAAGTAATCTGTTTGACAGGAATTAACATCCATTACATATAAATGACTTCTAAAATACAACAACCAATAGTGAATAATTTAATTTTTAACAAAATGAACCAAGGTCTCCAAATATATTTTTTTAAAAAAGCTATGCAAATGGCCTAGAGCCATTCGAAAGGAGAATCAAAATTACTTTTTAAGAGAAATGCAAAGCAAAATCCCAGTGAGCTCTTACCTCACCCATTAGGATGACCATTATTCTGCACTCAGTAAACAAGAATAAATGCAGAAAGACGTGAGTTCAGTTCCAAACATTGACAAGTGTCGGTTTTGGCTGCCCAATATCTGATATTCTGCCATTAAAGTTGCTGCTGCCCAGAGGCAGACATGGGTGATTAGTTTAAATAAGAGAATGATTCCTATTTTTATACAAAATCACGTGTCTAGTGCTATCTGGGAGAAAGGTTTTCAGAAAGGCATGAAAGACTTGAAACCTACTGCATAATGCATACTGGCTCTGTTGATATCGTGGGTTGGATTGATGCAAGAAGGGTGATTGAGGCAGAATTCAGTGGCATCACTTGGCATAAATGGTCCAGGAGTTGAAATATTGGGAGTGATGAGTAGAGAACCTCATTTAGTATTGGGAATATTTAGTGAAAGTGAGAAGTTTGGGAGGTAGTAACAGTGGTGCTGGGTGTGTTGCATTGTGTTGGGTCAAGAGCACCCCCACCCACAAAGGTTCTGGAATTTATGGTAGCACATATGCACAGGGATACCTGGCCAATGAGGGTAACAGGGGAGAAAAAGGGGTTCAAAACAATGGGAGTTGGCTTAAGAAAATCTTCAAAGGCCTCTTTAGCTTCGGTTAGAAATAGTATGTTAGTAGGGGGAAGGTTTTGTATAAAGAGGTCCCAATGGTAAGTGAAGCTAAGTTGGGTTTGAGTAGTTGCCCATTCTTGTATTGTGGCCAAGGAGGCCATTTTTACCCTGAATGGAATTCATGCACAGCTAACAGGTTGAGGCATAGGAGGAAGTGGCAGGCTTTAGTAGCTGTGGAGCTGCCTACGGAATTCAAAAATGTTGCAGGCAGCTAGAGATTATAAGGGTGATTTTAGCCAGAAGCATGAGTAATGATCAGAGAGCATTAATGTGCATAGTTCTAAGGCAAGTAGATTAGGGCCAAATTGAGATGTTTGTTGATTACGAAGAAAGAGTGTTAACCCAAAGAGTATTAGAGATAGAGACCACTATTCAAATTATGGCTTTGAGGTTTAAATTTAGGAGGGACATAGCAAATTCTTCCTTGGAGGGGTGTTGATATATAGTGACAAAGGCATATTAGTAAGTCTGCATAGTATTAGAACTTGTAATATAAACATCAAAATATTACTAACATTGCTGATGCACCAAAGCAGTCAAAAGTAAAATCACCAAATCATTAGGTTAAAAAATTCATATCAGATAAAGCAAACTCATGTTGGAACTCCTGGAGCTGCACAAGATAGGGTTAAACTAAAAATAAACAGTACCCTTTTAAATAAGATTGACAATATTTAAAAGAAGGGAGAGCATTACTTATCTTCTCATTCAAAGAGAAATTTTAAGTCTTCCAGTGGCTCACAAGAGTAGCTGAGTTCTGGTTCCATCTTTGCTTCCCTAAAGTCTTTCCAGGGTTTTATTCACAAGTGATTTATCCAACTAGAGATGCCAGAAACTCTGATATGAGTGGAAAGTATGATAGTAAAAGGTGCTTTTGTAAAGAGGTTAGTTGAGATCCAAAATATCCATCTCTCCAGATTTTTTTTTTTTTGAGACGGAGTTTTGCTCGTTACCCAGGCTGCAGTGCAATGGCGCGATCTCAGCTCACCGCAACCTCCGCCTCCTGAGTTCAGGCAATTCTCCTGCCTCAGCCTCCTGAGTAGCTGGGACTACAGGCAGGCGCCACCATGCCCAGCTAATTTTTTGTATTTTTAGTAGAGACGGGGTTTCACCATGTTGACCAGGATGGTCTCCATCTCTTGACCTTGTGATCCACCCGCCTCAGCCTCCCAAAGTGCTGGGATTACAAGCGTGAGCCACCGCACCCAGCCATCTCTCCAGAGTTTAATGAGGCCTGTGTGGTAGAAACGTTGTTGGTTGTTACCCGGGTCACTTAGGCAGGCAAATTCCTGATGGCCTCTTGAAACTGAGTAAGATTTTATGTATTGGGTTATTTTGGTAACTTCTTGATGTAATATTCTTTGCATGTAGAAAGGATCTCCCATACAGGATATATATATATGTAATTTAGGGGAGGTTCTGATCTGCAAAAGTGCCATGGGCACAAGTTCTAGCCATGGTAGAGGGGTTTTCCTGGAATCATTTACTCAGGGTGCTTTTAATAGTTCAATTTGTTCTTTTTACACCCCTGGAAGATTGTGGCCTTCAGGACTATAAAAAGTATTTTATCCCTAGAAAGGCTTCTGCCACTAATTGGGTAGCATGTAAAATAAAATACGGACCATTGTTACTTTGTGAAGATGGTGGAAGCCCAAACCAAAAGATAATTTGAGAAGGGCCTTGGCAACTACTTGAATCTTTTTTTTTTTTTGAGATGGAGTCTCACTGTCACCCAGGCTGGAGTGCAATGGTGCACTCTCAGCTCACAACAACCTCCGCCTCCCAGGTTCAAGAAATTCTCTTGCCTCAGCCTCCCAAGTAGCTGGGATTACAGGTGCACAGCACCATGCCTGGCTAATTTTTGTATTTTTAGTTAGAGACGGGGTTTCACCATGTTGGTCAGGCTGGTCTTGAACTCCTGACCTCGTGATCTGTCCGCCTCAGCCTCCCAAAGTGCTGGGATTACAGACAGGAGCCCCGCACCTGGCTGAATCTTTTCTATTCTACTATAAGACACTTCAACCCTGCCAGTAAAGGTATCCTCAAAGATCAGAAGCCTTGAGAGGCTAACAATTAAGTGAAGTCTATCTGCCAGTCTTCCTGCTAGGTAGGTTTCTTGTTGCTGAACAGGCTGAATTAATGCTGCTGGAGAAGATATAGAAGTTTTCCCAATTTATACCATCTTTCACATTCTAGGGTATATTGACATTTGATAGCCCATTTCTTTTTCTGGTGAGCATACTGCAGGATGGGTAGGTTGTCAGGTAAATTTGGAATAAGGGCCACAAAAGGTTCCCAGAGAAGGTGGTGGCCCTGGCTGCTTGGTCAGCTCTTCTGTTTCTCTGGGCAATTTTAGCTTGGCCCTTCTGGTAGCCCAATGGACTACAGCTACTTTCGGTGGTAGGTGAACAGCCTAGGATAGGGTAAAAACCTATGACCCATATTAAACAGAAGCCTCCTTTGCTGTCAAAAATTCTTTTGTTCTTTTCAGATGGCTGCATAAGCATGGGAAACTAAAAGGGCATATTTAAAATCTGTATAAATAGTAACCATTTCCTAGTTCTAGGGTCCTTGTCAGGACTATGAGCTCTGACTGCTGAGCTGAGGTTTCCAGAGATAATTTAAAGTTTTATAAGCAAATAGAAAAGTATTTTGGTGGAAAAATAAGTGGTAGTATTTCAGCAAAGCTGAAAAACAGGCACAAAGAAAACTAAACTTGAGTGAAGCAGCTCAAGAAATAAATCTGTATTAACAAAGGTAATAAAATCATAGTATACTGCCTGTGTTTGTAGTAAATAATATTTAATTACATTACAGCATTTGCTGACTACAGGTTTAGTTTAAAATTATGCTGTTAAGTACTCTGAGTTGCTGGAGGGGTCGGGAAGGGCAGCTGAAAAAAGTTGTTCCCAAGTTTATATGGTATAGTTAAATAGAGGAAGTATTTCTCCTTTAGTATCATATTTTATAAATTTACACAGACATATAACAAAAGAAGTATCAGTTATTTCCACTTTTGTTGAAATTTTACTAAGAATGGGTGTTAATTATTTTGTTTGAGAAGACTGTTTACTGTTTATAGATAAGAGTACTGTTGGACATGGTCAATCATGTCTATAGTCCCAGCACTTTGGGAGACTGAGGCGGGCAGATCACCTGAGGTCAGGAGTTCTAGACCAACCTGGCCAACATGGAAACCCCATTTCTACTAAAAATACAAAAATTAGCTGGGCATGGTGGCACATACCTGTAGCCCCAGCTACTCGGGAGGCTGAGGCGGGAGAATCACTTGAACCTGAAAGGTGGAGATTGCATTGAGCCGAGATCACACCATTGCACTCCAGTCTGGGTAACAAGAGTGAAACTCTGTCTTAAAAAGAAAAAGAAAACAAAGAAAGAAAAGAAAAGAAGAGTGTTATTTCTGAAGTCAAAGTTGCTTGTATTTTAATACTTGCTCCGATGTAAGCAAGTCATTTTTCTCTGTGGTTCTGTTTGTTTCTCTGTAAAGTTAGAATCATAACAATACCTATGCTATTGAGCTACTGTGGGAATTAAATTTATTAACATACATATAGAGTTTTGGTTAGTATTTGGAACACATTAGTTATATTAATAAAAATTATTACATTCTGAATTACATTAATATATGCTTTAACAGAAACGTATCTTCATTATAAGTTTCTCAACAAATAAATGGTTATATATTTAAATTTTTTAAAATGTGGTATATACAATTAAATACTATTCAGCAATAAAAGGGAAAAAAATCTTGTTATCTGAAACATGAATAAATTTTGAGGATATAATGCTAAGTGAAGTAAGGCAGACAGTAAAATGCTGATTACCAGATACTTGGCTATTTACAAAAAAGAGGCATTTGGACAGATGTCTGTAAAATAATACATAATTACAGTTGGTTAGGAGTAGGTTCAGAAAATGTACTGCACAGCATGGTGACTATAGTCACCATGTACAGTATATGCTATACAATAAATATAGAATATAGACTATTCTGCATAAAAAAAGTTAGTTTTGCTATGTTATGAACAATTTATGTAAAAATTTTCACCTATCACTAAGTCTCCAGAAAGTTTATTTCTAATACATATTTTCTTCTGAATTTTGAAATCTCTCAGTTGTTTCTTCATATGATGCTTTCTTACAATATGCCACCCACTCATATTAATGCTTTACCTATTTTAGCTTATGTTTCATTTAACACACTTTGTTTAGAATCTCATAACATTTTTCTTTTACAGAGAAAAACAATGCTGACTGACCTAATCCTGACATGAACAGTAAATTAATCTTTAGTGATCTAAATGTTGCACTGACAAGCTACAAATACCCTCAAACACGCCAGTTAAACACAATAATTTACCACATTAAGAAAACCAAACTTTTCATGAGAACCTAGAAAATTCATGTGAAATTACATGGCATGAAGAGAACAGTGAAAAAACTGTAGCCGTAACACAAATCAGAAGGGCTCTGAGGTACACAAAGCTGAGGATGACACACAGACACCAAAAACTAAAGATAATTAGAATATAAAAACAGAAATCTTCTTAAAATTCAGAATGAGTTATTTTTAGTCTGAGAACAGATGTCCTCTTAAAATGCAGAATTAATTCTTCACCACATATATTTTCCATCTCTTACTTGGACCTATAAATAAACTCCAGGAAAATATTTCTGCCTAATTATGGAGCATCTATTACACATCCATCACTTTCTTATGTTTGTTCTCTACGATTACATATCAAAACATTCTCATAACTTACAAAGCGTATCCAGTATTTACTTGAACAAATTGGTAAAATTAATAAACTCAATTATGTGGATTATAAAAAGTGAAAGGAACAATAACTACACAGCTTATATAGGATTCCTCAATTAAAGCAAGAAAACAAAATGTTTTAAAATATTGCTTAATACACACATTGTGAACTTACATCTAAAATTTGCATGCACTACCAAATTTTGTAAAAATCATTCTTATAATTTCAGATCAGCTCACACAAGTTAATGATGTTAAAAACAAAAAAACAGAAACAAGTGAAATATAGCTCTAGCATGAGTACCAGACAAAATAATTTGCATAAGGAGATTCTCAATGATTCATTAGATTTTTTTATTTGAGATGGAGTCTTTATCGCCAGACTGGAGTACAGTGGCACAATCTCAGCTCACTGCAACCTACGCCTCCCAGGTTCAAGTGATTCTCCTGCCTCAGCCTCCCAAGTGGTTGGGACTACAGACGTGCACCACCACACCTGGCTAATTTTTGTATTTTTAGTAGATAAGCTTTCATTATGATGGCTAGGATGGTCTTGATCTCTTGACCTCGTGATCTGCCCACCTCAGCCTCCCAAAGTGCTGGGATTACAGGTATGCGCCACTGCACGTGGCCATGATTCATGAGATTTTACAGTAATTAACTAAATACAAAGAAAGTATAGATTTGATTCCAGAATATTTTGTTTTTAAATTTCTAGTAAGTTATATATATTATTAAAAGAATCTTTGTTATTCCAATGTTGCTATTTTCTTTCAAAAATTGGTACAAACTCCCAAACACAATTGCTTGCTCTATAATTTTTTTTACACCTAAGGTTGGTCTTAGGGCAATACATTTATATATTTATCTCCATGTAAATCAAAATCAAGTCTATACGTGTTTGCCAGAAGAGATGCCACATGTCCAAATGAAAATATGAAACAGTTAAAAAAATATTTATTCAGGAATAAGAAATGTATAATTATAATTATACTGACGTAATATTGAATACAATCATAAAATGACATAAAAATAACTTAATTGTACATTTAAAAATAAAGTGTATAAATGGACTATTTGTAATACAAAGGATAAATGCTTGAGGTGATGAATAACTCATTTACTATGATGTGATTTTACATGTTGTATGCCTGTATGAACTAACCCATATATGCCATGAATATATACACATACTGTGTACCCACAGGAATTTAAAAAATTAAACTTAAATAAGGAAAACTAACAATTTAACATGGGAACAATATTCTTCAATTTATTTGCTGTTGAAGCCACTGGAAAAGAGATTACTAGAAATGTCATAAAACTATATTACCAAAAAGTACACTGTTAACATCTGTTACCTACACCATTGAATACGATAGGATAACTGAAAGTTGGTGGCATACTTCATTCCACACAACAGTAATTTCAACACATTAACAATTGTTAATCAAAAAAGTTCACACACAATCTTAAAAGAGAATTTAAAAGTTTACTGCTTTTTATTACACAAATTTACAATTGGTAAAACAATTTACTACTAAAATTCAGATTTTCTCTCACTGCAATGCAGAAGAATATTACTCTGAACACCTACCTCATGCATCATTTCATGCATCTTTCATTTCAATGCCCTTACTCTTTCATGTAAAAGTTCATGCATCATGCCCACCTAAAAGGAATCTCTCATATCTCTGATGCAACAATTCATCACATGCTTTCATATAAATAAGAAAGTTGAATCAGTATGAAGTAATTTTAGAGTTGAATTTGATTTTCAAAAACTCTTTTTTTTCAAGTAAAAAAAGTATAATTTCAATGGAATAACTTCAAAAATCTAATTCTTTTCAAGTACATGTAAAAAAAATTAAGTTTCAGCCTTGGAGTTTAACATTCTGATTTACTGTAATGTTTCAAGTACTAGTGCCTTACTCCTTTCTACTGTAAATACTCTAATGTTTATGTAGTCTTTAGACTGAATATCTTTTCATATTTACTGCATCTACAAAATATCTTCCAGTATAAATGCTGGTATTTCTTAATCTATAGTTTTTGAACAAACATTTTTCCAAATTTATTAGAGTTGTAGAATTTCTTTCCAATGTAAATTATCTGATGTTGAAGGAAGTTTGGGCAACTGCTTCAAGGTTTTCCTCTAGTACAAAATATGCACAATAAGATCCATGATGCAAGTACAGGATCCATGATGCAAGTATTCTTACTATTTGTATTGTCTGTCTTCAGAATACTCTTCTTCACATTAAAGACCCATATTTCTAAAAGGTCTTTCAACAAATTATTACATTTATAATGCTTTTATTAAGTATGGACTTTCTGATATTTAGTAACACATGAGTAGCTATTAATGGCTTTTAACATTTTTTATATTTGTACAATTTTTCTCAAGTATACATGCTATCATGTGCAAAAGATATGGGCATTGGTTAAAAGTTCTGCCACATTTTATATTCCTAGGGATTTTCTTCAGTAACAATTATATACATTAAGGCTGGGTGCAGTGGCTCACACCTGTAATCCCAGCCCTTTGGTAGTCTGAGGTGGGTGGATCACAATGTCAGGTGTTCAAGACCAGCTTGGCCAACATGGTGAAACCCTATCTCTACTAAAAACACAAAAAATTAGCTAGGCTTGGTGGCAGGTACCTGTAATCCCAGCTACTCAGTGGGCTGAGGCAGGAGAATCCTTTGAACCCGGGAGGCACAGATTGCAGTGAGCTGAGACTGCACCACAGAACTGGGCAACAGAGCAAGACTCTGTCTGAAAAATAAAAATTACATACAGTAAGATGTGACAAGCATTTGAAGGCTTTGCCACATTTTTCATATTTTTATGGCTATTCACCAATACAATTTCTCTTATATTTAGAACAGATTGAGGTGTGGTTAAAAGCTTTGTCACATTTTTCACATTTGTGGAGTTTCTCTCCAGTATGAATTATGATTAGAAAAGATTGAGGAACACTTAAAGACTCCCACATTCTTCATATTTCTAAAATTTTCCTCCAGTATGAGTTCTCTTATGTTGAGGAAGGTTCAAGTGCTGCTTAAAGGCTTTTCCACGTTCTTTAAATTTGTAGGGTTTATCTATAGTATGAATTTTCTTATGTTTATTCAGGTGCGAAGACTGTTTAAAGGCTTTGCCACATTCTTGACATATGTAGGGTTTCTCTCCAGTATGAATTTTCTTATGATTACGCAGGTTTGCAAACACTTTAAAGGCTTTGGCACAAACTTCACATTTGTAGGGATTTTCTCCAGAGTGAACTCTCTTGTGTACATTAAGGGTTGAAGACCAATTAAAGGCTTTACCACATTCTTCACATGTGTAGGGTTTCTCTCCGGTATGGATTCTCTTATGTGTAGTAAGAGTTGTTGACCTATTAAAGGATTTGCCACATTCTTCACATGTGTATGGTTTCTCTCCTGTATGAATTCTCCTATGTTTAGCAAGGTCTGAGGATGTGGTAAAGGCATTGCCACATTTTTCACATGAGAAGGGTTTCTCTCCAGCATGAATTCTCTTATGTTCATTAAGGGATGAGGACCATTTAAAGGCTTTGCCACATTCTTCACATTTGTAGCATCTTTGCCCAGAATGAATTCTCTTGTGTAAATTAAGGGTTGAGGATTGGTTAAAAGCTTTACCACATTCTTCACACGTGTAGGGTTTCTCTCCAGTATGAATTCTCTTATGTTTGGTAAGGTGTGAGGACTGAGTAAAGCCTTTACCACATTCTTCACACTTGTAGGGTTTCTCTCCAGCATGAATTCTCTTATGTTTAGTAAGAACTGAGGACCAATTAAAGGCTTTGCCACATTCTTCACATATGTAGGGGTTCTCTCCAGTATGAATTCTTTTGTGTTGAGTTAGGTGTGAGAACATGTGAAATGATTTGCCACATTCCTTACATTTAAAGGTTTTCTCTCCAGTATATTTTATCTTATGTTTGTTTGAATTTGAAAATGCATTAAAAATTTCAACACATGTATTACATTGAATTATTTTGCTCTGGGTAGTTGATAAGCATTGGTTAATTCCATCATAACCTCCTTTCTGCACCTTATATTCATTCACATTTTTAAAACTTTTTCTTAAATTCTCATGTCCACATTTCTCATGTCTTTTCAGTATAGGTTTGTGGAATGAATCTTCTATGCTGTGCTCTGGCCAAAGGTCTTGGGTGAAATGAGAACACACAGCTGAAAGAAAAAAAAAAATAACAAATTATCACACTTAGTAGATTCATATAAATGTACTTCACAGGCCAGGTGTGGTGGCTCACGCCTGTAATCCCAGCATTTTGGGAGGCCAAGATGGGCAGATCGTGAGGTCAGGAGTTTGAGACCAGCCTGGCTGACATGGTGAAACCCTGTCTCTACTAAATATACAAAAAAATTAGCTGGGTGTGTGGCACATGCCTGTAATCCCAGCTACTCAGGAAGCTAAGGCAGGAGAATTGCTTGAACCTGGGAGGCGGAGAATACAGTGAGCCAAGAATGCGCCACTGCACCCCGGCCTGGGCGACAATGTACAGCTCTGTCTCAAAAAATAAATACACTTTATAAATCTAATATATAAAATTATACAAAGTACATCAGTAAGAAGATCAGTAAATACCACAGGCTATGATTTCTTTATATACATATGTAATACAAATACACTGACAAAATGCCTTTTTTGTGAAATCTATAAATGAGTTAATTGCATGCAATGCCTCAGGTAAGCACAATGCCGAGAGCCATATAAAACAGGAAGAAAAATATGTTACATTTACCCACTGCAGCTCTTCCTCTTCACAAATACAGCATTGTGCTTTTAGGAGTAAACTGTCAACACCTGGCTTCATAGAGAAAAAAATGACATACAGATTCCAACATCTGGTTTTTGGGGATTATTACAAAACTGGGTTTCTGCCTCCAATAACACAGGGTGCTGAAAGAAATGGTGGTGAGTGTACTGAGATCAAAGGTAAATGTTTTATGAGCAGACCCCAGTGCTAAATTCAGGAAACAGGTAGAACAACTGATTAGAGACCGTAAGAAGAAACATGAACAAACTATTTTAACTGAAAAAAAAAAAACAACAAAAAACAAGACACATCCTTACAACATGTATGAGGCTCCCATAATCTCTATAAAAGACAATTAGTTTCAGACTATGTCAGGACAAGGCAACATTGTAAAGTCTGTGACAAATAGCTTTTAGGTAATGTTCAAATAACAATATTACAAAGTAGGCAAAGTATTAGGGCAACATGTCCCAATTAAAAAAATTTAAAATGGCCAGGTGCCGTGGCTCACACCTGTAATCCCAACACTTTGGGAGGCCGAGGCAGGCAGATCATGAGGTCAGGAGTTAGAGACTAGCCAGGCCAACATGGTGAAACTTGTCTCTACTAAAAATGCAAAAAGGAGCTGGGCATGATGGCACATGCCTGTAGTCCCAGCTACTCAGGAGGAGGAAGCAGGAGAATAGCTTGAACATGGGAGGTGGAGGTTGCAGTGAGCTGAGACCCCGCCACTGCACTCCAGCCTGGGTGACAAAGTGAGTCTCTATATCAAAAAAAAAAAAAAAATTTTTTTTTAATTTCAGAAAACTGTAAATAATGAAGATGCTCAAATTTTAAAAATTGAACCTAAATAATGCTCAATGAGTGAAACAGAAACGCAAGGAACAAAATCAGAAAAATAATATCGATGAAAACACTAAAAATGTAAAAAACAAAAATCATAAAGGTGAAAAATACAATAATGACAGAAATTTTCAAAAGTAAAAAAATGTAAGAATGTAAGAAGCTCCACAAGCTTCAACTAGGATAAACATAGAGATTTATAACAAGACACATATAAGCAAAGTTTCAAAAGTCAAAGACAAGAAGAGAATCTTAGGAGTTACACAATAAAAGTGATATGTCATTTATAAGTGTGGTCTTATGAAATAACCAGTAAGTCTGGCAAAAAAATAAATAAATAAATTCAGACGAGAGGGAATTGTAATATAAAGTCCTGAAAGAAAAACAGCTTCTAAGTGAGAATAATATAACCAGTGAAACTGTACTAATAATGAAGAAAAAGCAGAGATCTTTCAAGATAACTAAATGCTGAAAAGTATATTAGTACTACACCTGCCTTGCAAAAAAAACAAAAAAATATGAAGAAAGTATTTTCCACTGAAAATAACATGATGTAAGAAAACAAAGCATAATATGAAAACACGTAATTTTCTGGGAAAGATATGCACATATGAAAATATCAAGTCCTATACCATTATGTTAGCACAGAAAACATTTTAGTCTCCAGAATGTGAAAGATAAAAACAAAACAATCATAAACTGCTAATCGTAAACTGTTAATATGCAAAATACAAACATGATTAGTGACATCAATAATAAAGTCGAGGGCAAATATAATGAGGAAGAATTGTGACACGTAACTAAAGTTTTTACCAGTTTAAAATACATTATTTTACCTTAAATAAATTTTATGTAATTCCCAAGATACCAAGTAAAAGTGGAACTGTATAGATACTAAAAAAAAATAAGAAGACTTGTCAATACAAAAATAAAAAAGACACAAAGGAAGACAGAAAATAAGGGACAAAGATAAAATTATCAAGTAAAATAATAAAATGAGTAAGCCTTTCCATTTCAGCATTATTTAAATATTTATAAAGTAAACTTTCCATTCATGCATTCATTTATATACTGAATAAAAAGATTTAAAAAATTGGCTGGGTGTGGTGGCTCACACCTGTAATCCTAGCACTTTGGGAGGCTGAGGTGGGTTGCAGTGAGCTGATATTGAGTCACTACACTCCAGCCTAGGTGAAAGAGTGAGACTCTGTCAAAAAAAAAAAAAAAAAAACTTAAAAAACAAGCTCCAACCTGCTTTTCTACAAGTCACTTAAGATCTAATGATTAAAGGAAACAAGGCAAGATGAAGACATTTCATGCAAATAACCAAATAAAAAGAGGTCAAAATTATATTACACAAAGTGCATCTTTTTTTTTGAGACGGAGTTTCGCTCTTGTTACCCAGGCTGGAGTGCAATGGCATGATCTCGGCTCACCACAACCTCTGCCTCCTGGGTTCAAGCAATTCTCCTGCCTCAGCCTCCTGAGTAGCTGGGATTACAGGCATGCACCACCATGCCCAGCTAATTTTTGTATTTTTAGTAGAGACGGGGTTTCACCATGTTGACCAGGATGGTCTCGATCTCTTGACCTCGTGGTCCACCCACCTCAGCCTCCCAAAGTGCTGGGATTATAGGCGTGAGCCACCAAGCCCGGCCCACAAAGTGCATCTTTAGTGGAAAGCTATCCTTCTTCATAAAATATGCTTTAACTAAAAGCTTGTAAGAGACAAAGGATATTAAACAATTATAATGGTTCATTTACTGGGAACCCATGACAATGTGTGTCAATGCATATACTAATGTGTGTGTGAGTGTATCTCACATTAGGACTCCGAATATATAAAGTAAATACTGGCAGAATTAAAGCAAGATACGGAAAGCAATATAATTATACTAGGATATTTTGATACCTCAATTTCTGTAATGAATAAGAGAAAAAGACAATATTCATAAGGGAACAGAAGACTTCAAAGCAGTATTAAAAAATTATGCTTAGCCGGCGCAGTGGCTCACGCCTACAATCCCAGCACTTTGGGAGGCTGAGGCGGGTGTATCACAAGGTCAAGAGATCGAGACCATCCTGGTCAACATGGTGAAACCCCGTCTCTATTAAAAATACGAAAATTAGCTGGGCATGGTGGTGCACGCCTGTAATCCCAGCTACTCGGGAGGCTGAGGCAGGAGAATTACTTGAACCCAGAAGGTGGAGGTTGCAGTGAGCTGAGATCGTGCCATTGCACTCCAGCCTGTGTAACAAGAGCGAAACTCTGTCTCAAAAAAAAAAAAATTTATGCCTAAAAAATTGTAGAAAACTCCTCAACAACGGCAGAATACACACTTTTCTCAATAGCTCATACAAAAGTTCCTTTGATAAACCACCTCCTCTTAGGCCAGAGTCTTAACAAATTTTTTTAAATTAAAATTTTACAGATTACTTTTTATGACCAAACTGGAATGAGAGAATTAAAAAAAACCAGAAAATCTTACATAATTAAAGAAATTAAACAATATACTTTTTAGCATGCTCTTGTTCAATCTTTGAAATAATTAATATTATAAGGCTGTCTAGACTGTGTAATGTAATCTACAGATTAAATGCAGTCCCTGTCAAATTTCTAATTCAGTTTTTTTGCAGAAATAGGAACAGCAATCACATAATTATGTAAAATTTCAGGAGCCAATGTAGCACCAAACGATATTCAATAAGAAAACTAACAATGTTAAAGGCATCACAGCTCCTGATTTCAAAACATATACAAAACTAAAAATTAAAACAATTTAGTATGGGTATAAGCTGAACAGCTAGATCAATAAAATTAAATCCAGCACAAATATAAACTCTCATACAAATGGTCACATGAAGAGTAATCTGTATACTCATAATTATTGCAGCACTGTTATTGAAGCAAATAAATGAAAGCAACGCAAATTTCTCCCATCAAATGGGTAAATATAATTTTAAATATGAATATATTACTCAGTTTAGAAGAAAAAATATGCTAACTAGTATAATAAATCATAATGAAATTGTGCAACATAAAATAAGTCAGCCACAAAGAGACAGAAACTAGGTGAATCAACCTACATAAGAGATCTAAAACAGTCTGATTCTGAAGTAGAAAACAATTGTTTTGTACAGTCGCAGAAAACAGAAACAATACGTAGTTGTTGAATTTGTAGAGTTTTAGCTCTGCAAAAATAAATACATTCTAGAGATACAGTATTTAACAATGTCAATATGATTAATATGACTAAACTGATTAAAAATATTTAAGTTTGCAGTTTTTTTAACAATTAAAAATAATATCTAAGAGATACAGAAGTATGATAAGTTTTGAATTATATTCAAATCACAAAAGTACTTCTCCCCCACATAAAAATATAGATTTACAAATAAACAGAAGGCAAAATCATAAGGATTTTAATGACAACTCACCTAGACAGGGTAAAACGACCAATGTATACACACAAACAGAACAAGTATAGAACTTATAAACAATGCAGGAACAATACACATACAGATAAACAGAGACTTACATTGAAAATAGACTGATGCATATTTGAC